TATGTTGTCCAAAAAAAACCAAACAAACAAACAAACAAAAAAAAACTTGAGGTAATTACTGAGCACGGAAGATGAACTCCATAAATGGAGAGAGAATAGAAATAGGCAGAAAATTAAAAAGCTTTGAGGGAAATAGAATAGAACATGACAACAGAGCTCTGCACATCAATCACAGGTGGACACAAATCTGTTTTGCTCTCAAACGTGCAATCTGTACAATTAATTCTAAATACCAGCAACTGTTTGCTTATCATGTATTTAACAAATAATAACAGTTGCTTATTAAGTGTCTAGTTGGGGTAAGGCATATGTCAAATTACCATATAGATGAATGTAGCCCATGAGATAAGTTCCAAATATTTGAAATACTCTCATAGAATTTGCAGGCCTTTTAACTTTTCTCTTTTGAATTTTTTGCCTCCCAGCTAGCCATTCAATTCGTGAAAACACTTAATGAAAATTGTTTTTTATCTTAAATGTGTGTATATGTGGACATAACTATGGGTTTCATATTGCTAGTCAGTCATAAATGTCAAAGATACATGATCAACTGTTCTTTGATCACTATGATATGGATAAACTGTTCTTTACTTTCCTAATTTCTTCTCCTCACTTTTCCCAGCCCCCTCTTGTCATTCATGATCCTCTTTCCAGGACCTCTCCAATTGAGTTTTTCACATGATTTACATTTTAAAGGCCAAAAGTACCTGGGAAACATCATTGTCAATAAAGAAAAGATCCTTAAAATTTGGAATGTCTCTAATATTTTATTTCCAGGTCAGGAGATTACTCCATTCATGTACATCACCGTATTTCGTAACCAAGATCCACTTTCATTTCTAGAAGGCCAAGGAAAAGGCCGCAGAAAATAGAAGTGAGGGTTAATGAAGTTTAATTTCAGTAATTGAGCCTACCAACTACCTCAATAGTAACTGGGAAAATAATATTTTAAGGTTGGAAATAAAGACGAAGGTGGATAAGTCATGTCATCGGTGTGGTATGCATCTCACGTGAATGTCAGTTTCCCAGGCAAGAGCACCTTTCTTGTGTACTCTGCATGATGGACTCCAGCACCTTCCCCCTCTCTGAAGGTTTCCCATTCCAGAGTCTCACAATATAAGAGCGGGATACATTACCTAATGACAATGCATGAACCTGAATTCTAAAGTCATGCTATGTATGAATTGTGGCTTCATACTTGCCAGTCATATGTCAGTGAAGAATCTTTTGAGTCTTCATTTAGAAAACAGTTTCCTTACCTTGATATAGTGACATTTCTTTGGGCATCAGATCTTCTTCTATTTAATGTCAGACTTTTACTAAATAATTTATAAAGTACTCATAACTTCTAATATTGTGATCTTGCATTAACATATTTACCAATCCTATACTCATTACCTGCTGTGTACCTCTTAATTAATACGTAATAACTTCGTATAGCATACATTATACGAAGTTATACGAAGATTATAGCATATACATTTTTTTTTTTTTGCTACTGGCTTTTTTCCACTTAAACATACATCATGAGTATCTTTCTAGGTCGATACATATGGACATAACTCATTCTTTTTAAAAACTGCATAATATATTATAGGACTTATAACTTATTCAACCATTCCCATGTAGATATATAGCCAAGTTATATCCCCTTTTGCCCTATTTGTATTAAAGTTGCAATAAACATCCTGTGTGTGTATATGTATGTGCGTATTACTAACTGATTATTGCTGGCAAAAATAAAAGCTCCTAACTTACAGATTTTCTTCTTGTATATAGCCATCTTACCAAATTCCTGTATTAGTTCTAATTATTGTTTGAGTCTTCAGCATTCTCTGGGTATGCAAACAAAATAAAACACTGTTATCTCTGTTTTGCAAGCTTATATCACTTATTGAAATTTTCTGACATTTTCAAATAAAAGATTAATTTGAAAACCTCTTAGGCTATTCCTACCCCTTTTATTTTTAAGGTATTCAACCCTCAAAATCTAATTGGCCCACTCAAATATTCCTATAGTTAAACAGTAATTTCACTCAGTGTTACCAAGGACTTAAAGATAATTTCTTTCTCAAGACTCCTAGTTCTCTTTTTTTTGTTCTTTGTTAAGCTAATTTCAGCTAGCTCTATGATAATTTTCTCTCATGTTTCCGTAGTTCTGTAAATTGTTCATAATTAAACTTTTCATAAAGTATGAGGCATGATTTTGAAATAGGATGTGATTTAAAAAATTTTCTCAAGTAGATTATTTTTTGAATCAGTTGTTTTTGAAGTTAGCATCTAAATATGCTTTTGGAGAGATTATTTTTTAGAAAAGAATAAAACAGTATTCAAAAAGTTTTGAAGTGTAAAGACAGGGCAAAAATACTCAATTACCTTGAACAGTGGAAGAACTGAGATGTTCTAACACACACAGTTGTCATATAGATACCATATTATATTAATGTAACCAGACTTAAAAGAATTAGAATATATAAAATATTCTTTCTAATGTAAGTGATTCCTAAGTTATTTAAAAAAAAATTTTGTTTCCAAATATATGGAAAATTCAGTTAAACTGAGATGTTCTAACACACACAGTTGTCATATAGATACCATATTATATTAATGTAACCAGCCTTAAAATAATTAGAATATAGAAAATATTCTTTCAAATGTAAGTGATTCCTAAGTTATTTAAAAAAAAATTTTGTTTCCAAATATATGGAAAATTCAGTTAAAAAAATATTTTTTAAATGCATCATAGAGAATTTGGTCTGTGTCCTAATTTGTCGAGACTTCTTTATGGACAAAGTCACACTTTGTTACATGTTCCTGTTGCAGTTGAAAAGAATGACAATACTCAAGTTTGGATGTATATCATATATTATATGCAGATTAGTTAGAGCTGGTTAATTATATTGCCCAAATTTTCTCTATCTTTATGAACTTTTTTCTTAATATATTATCAAGGGAAGTGTGTTAAAAATCTACCACTGTGATAGTGGATTTGTCAAGTTCTTGAAATAATGTTGTCATTTAAAATTTTTATATATTTGATACATAAAAATGCATGTAAGTTTAAAATTTCTATATTTTCCCAGTGATTTCAATTTCTTATCAATATGTAATGACTTTCTGCAGTAATGCTTTTTTGCCTTAAAGTCTATTTTGTATAATGTAAAATAGTT